AGAATGAAGTAGATATGTCATGAATAGTTTCCACAAAGTCTGCAACAGGTAATACTGACAAAAGCAAAAACATTTTTCTATTGAATAATTAAGTTTATTGATGGATTTAATCAAGTCACATCCAGATCAACATTTTTAACAACTGAAAAATAGAGAGAATGTAAAAGGGTAATAAGGAGTACCGAACAAGAGTTAAGATTTGTAGCAGAATTTAATTACATTCTAATAAATCAAAACAAAGAATTTTAAAACAGCATGAATATGTGGCTCCAGTTTAACATTTACGTATCTTCTTTATACGGTCAATAACAGGGGAACAGATTTTCATCTTACTGAATGGTTTTGTGAAGCTGCCACCCATTGTGGCAATAGCCCAATTTTCATTTTCACTGAAACTAATAAAAATTTTCACTGAAACCAATGATCAGCTGTTCCACAATGCCAGCTTAACATCCAGGAAGTTAAGGTATAAACCTACCGCAATGATTTGCTGCTCAAAGTATACTGCTTCACAGCATCAAAATAAATCTGTCAATATCTTGTTACTAATGCTAAAATTTCTCAGCATCTGATATGCATAAGGCCAGAAATCCCAAAATGTCTTCCACAAAGAGAATCTGGCAATGTTATGTCAACTCTATGGGGTGGGGTGGTGTGGATGAAGTCATTCAAAAAGCAACAGTTGCCGGAACTAGAACAGAAATTGCTGGAGAAACTTGGATGGTTTGGCAGCATTTGTAGAGAGGAACACAGTTAACAGAGTCCTGGAACCCTTCTTCAGAACTGAGAAAAGTTAATACTGTTTCTCTTGCCTCAAATACTCAGCTTTTCCAGTAATTTGTTTTTGTTTCAGATTTCCAACATCTATAGTTATTTGCTTTATTTCCGTTGCCAGAACTGTTTTACATGTCTAATTTCCAAGATTTGCTAATAGTTGAAGATATTAATGGCTAAAGCAGGGAAATGAATAAATCACTGTTTATCATAACGTAATAAAATTAGTTAACTGCAAGTTTGTCATACAGTAGAGAGTGTTAAATAGGGGTTCTGTGTGTTAGATCTTTTGCTGTGCTAGTAAATCTCTCAATTTTATGTCTACTAAAATACTGCAAGCTCAAAAATCGTACCTATACAAAATTTGTAGGATATAGTGTTTAGGTAAGCATAAGTTCTTAGTCACCTGCTGGGTTTTAGTATATAAATATTCAGCTGAATAGTTAACACAGAAATGAATAGGTAGCAGATTACAGAGTTTCGGATTTGAAAATACTAATATAAAATGGTAAATTCACAATTTTACGTACCGATACTCAAAATTCATAAAGAGTATTTAATTTCGGAAGCAGTACATGAGTTAGTTCTGTAACATTACAGCAGAAAGCGGTTACATCTGTAATCACAAAACACTGACATTCATCACACAATTTAACTTCCAATAGTTGTACACATCAACATCTTGTTTGAAAAGCAAAATGTTTCAAAGATCAAGTTTCCTGAAGTGTATATATTAAAAAGACATCTCATAAACCAAAACAATTTAAAACACAGCACTGACAAACATGCTTGTTTTAGGCAAATAAAACCTCCAATTTACTATCAAAATAAATAGACGCTATTTTGTACAAGGAAACACTGTACATTTTGGTTGGCAGTACTAGACATATGAATACACTGCTGAAAACGGACATCGTATAGTTGCTACACATCTGTTTATAATGATTTTTATAATTTATGGTACCTTCACAATATAATAATTGTCTTACTCATCTTAAAGCAAATAAATGGCATGTGTGCCCTTTTATGTTATTTGATCTTATGTTTTTTGAAGTATAGAATTGTATTGAGATCTGTAGCTTTTTGATGTAATGTCCTAAGATCTAACAGCTACTGTACTATGAAAAGCCGCAGGGATGTGTTTCCCACCTCCAAGTGTATTCCAAATGGAAATATATTTCCATATTTCATACGAAAATCAGGATGACAACGACTCATATTTAACTGCAAAAGGTCCCTTTGTCCACTCAAGAGATAGCAAGAACTGCCGATGCTGGAGTCAGAGATAACAGTGTGGAGCTGGAGGAACACAGCAGCCCAGGCAACAGAGGAGCAGGAAAGCTAACATTTTGGGTCAGGACCCTTCTTCAGAAACGGGGGAGGGGGAAGGGAGCTCAGAAATAGAGAGAGAGGAGTGTGGGGCTGGGGAAGGTAGGTGGGATGGTGATAGGTGAGTGCAGGTAGGCAATGGTGTGGATTGGTCAATGAGGTGGGAGGAGCGTATAGGTGGGAGAGAAGACGGACAGGTTGTGTCAGGTCAAGGAGGCAGGGGTGAGAGGGAGGGTTGGTTGTAGGATGAGGCCGGGAGTGGGGAGATTTTGAAACTAGCAAAGTCCACACTGAGACCATTGGGTTGTAGGGTCCCAAGGAGGAGCAGCACCTCCTATTCTGCCTTGGGAGCCTGCAACCCAATGGTCTCAATGTGGACTTTGCTAGTTTCAAAATCTCCCCACTCCCGGCCTCATCCTACAACCAACCCTCCCTCTCACCCCTGCCTCCTTGACCTGACACAACCTGTCCGTCTTCTCTCCCACCTATACGCTCCTCCCACCTCACTGACCAATCCCCACCACTGCCTACCTGCACTCACCTATCACCATCCCACCTACCTTCCCCAGCCCTACCCCTCCTCTCTCTCTCTATTTATTTGTTTCTGAGCTCCCTTCCCTCTCCCCCATTTCTGAAGAAGGGTCCCGATGCAAAAGGTCAGCTTACCTGCTCCTCTGATGCTGCCTAGCCTGCTGTGTTCCTCCAGCTCCACACTGTTATCCCTTTGTCCACATACTTGTTGCCAACTTCACCTAATTGGCTGTAGTTAAGCAGCCAAGACCTGCAGTCAGCAACAGGAGTGCTTGCAATTGACTGAAAATATTTGTTACACTTGCAGAACCAGGCAACAGCGATGAACAGGATTCATCCAACAACTCGTAGCAAATAAGTGAAGTTTCTGAAAATGTAGTTACAATTTCAGGAAAGAGTAAACTTTTGACCATAAAAACCTACAATCCAGCTTCCCACAAAAAATATTTTGATACATTTCTACGTTTATTTATCCTGCAGCTCTTTCTTCCTTTGTTCTTTGCAAAGTGCACTTTCAGCATTTCTTGTAACTTCTCTGAAGTTAACTCTCTGCCTGACCTCCACACCTCTGTTCTGATGATAGGTCATCAACCTTGAAACATGAACTGTATTTTTTTTAAAACCCCTCCACAGATGCTGTCAGATGCGAGTTTCCAGCATTTTAAATACCAGTTCCATAGTTACTTTGAGAAATAATTCATCCTGTCAACTATTCCATCTGGGACCATTACTGGTGTTTACAGCTACGCATATTTTGTTTTTGCCACATTAAACTTCTGCTGTGGAAAGTGCTTCTTTAAAACAAAATCAAACGTGCAAAGCTGTCTTCTTGGTACCCTTTATAAAAATATACAAATTAGCAAAGAAATGTGAAGAATTGTACCCAAAAGGCAGGCACACAGCCTTGTCAGTTTGCATATTCCTACAAAAGAGGCATAAAAGGCAAATAAGATAAGCAATGCACAGCACTAAAAATCTCACACGTACTGAAGAGCCTTTGCAAATTCAGCCCTCAGTCCTACACATTCAAATAGCTCTCGTACAGTGAATCAGCTACAAGCTCAATGAGTCGTCAGCTATGCTTTTTAAAAGTAATTTAATATAAAGAAAAAGCTGCCTTCCATAAAAACCCAATGTCAGTACATTTCTAATGCCTTATGGTAAAATAAGTAAATATGGTGACATATAGAAGTCTATTTCCATTACTAATAGTCCAAATATGTTGCAATTATTCCTTTGAATTGTTTGTGCACGCAGGGAGGAATAGAAAGAGCAAGACCTTTGAAATTTTGAATGCATATTGTTAAAAAGGTACACTGAAAGGGATACGGCAGGACTTGTGCTTTCAAAAACATGCTGAGTTGTCCAAGCATATTGTTAAAAGTCTAAAAATTTTTAGAAATCTAAAAGCCTTACAGGTATGTTATTGCTACATTTCATAATGTTCAGCTGTTTGTTACAAAAACATGGAAACATATGTGCTTTATATTTTAAAAGACAAAAGATGCAATCTTATATTTAGATTTCAGATTTTTGTGCTTGAACAGTTAGAATTGTCAGATGTGCAGAAAATGCTGACCATTTCTTAACTATTTTACAATTTCGCATGAGAAGAAAATACAATTGATCATTATTTTCAAAATAATAGATTTTGATTCTGATAGTAAAGGACATTTTAAAAAGTACAACATAATCTGCAGAACATTCATACTTCAGTGATGGAACTTCATCCTACACAGGAATGTTTCTGATTTTAACTATGGCAGGAAAGCATTTGAGTTTCTGCAGCTTCCATCGAAACACAACACTGGTGGAGACGTGAGCAGAAAACAAAATATGATTTTTAAAAAATGGAGAATACTCAAAGCTACTTCATTACTGTTAAAACTTCTCTTAATTGGTGATTGTGTTGACTTCTTCTATTTGTTTTTGAACTTACTGATGTATAAAATAGCCAATTGCTACGTTAGAAATAACACACACTTGATTGCTAGATATGAGACTGAGACTGTCAGTGTCATATTATATTATGCTTGTAACACCACCCTTTCAACTGATTCAGGCATTTACCTTAACACTGCTTATCTTACACACCCAGTTTGGCCATTGCAACAAAATATCACATATCTTAGCAAACACACAACTTTAGTCACATTGAGCCTGGTAGACGTTAGATACATAAAAATTACACCAGATTGCTTGGAAGCCCAAACATGCATGTCACTCATTCATGCACATACAGAAATAACTTAAGATTGGATGTGGCTTTTTAAATGAATTCTGTCCCCAATAGACTTAGAAGTCATGTTAGAAAGCTTACTCTGGTTGAATGGAGAAAGCGCTTCTCAATCTAACCCCAACCTCGTCAAGGTATTGTTCTTAATATATTAAAAAAAACTAATATTCACATTTCAGGATCCCTTGCACAGTAATTTCAGTTTCTATATGTCATAGAAAGCAACGTATTATACATTAACACAGCAATATATATAGCAATAACTGTGAATAAATAGAACAGGTGGCTCTTTTCAACGATACTGCCAAATGGCAGAAACAACGGTAGTTGGGATTGCTTGGTGCTTTTTCTACATCCCGATGAATTCAAATCAAACTAACAGACATCCTGAGGTTGTGCCTTTTTGAACTGGTTACGATCTACAACAGTCCTAGTGTTTAGTCTTTAGTTTCTTCTCTGGAGACCGAGGTTTAAGCACACAACTACATGCTGACACTCCTGCAATTAATTTTGGGAGGTCTGGGCCACGGTGCCACTTATTCTCAACCCTGTTATATATCTGCACAGCTTTTGAAAACACTGTATTCTCCCAGCTGTAGCCACCGAGAATATAAATTTTTCCATTCAGAACTGCCACTCCTGACTCACTGTTGGCCTGGAGGAGAGGGGCAACTCGGGTCCATTGATTATACTGTGGGCTGTAACATTCCACACTTAAAATATCAAATCTCTCCATAGACTCAATGTGATCATCACTGCCACCTATAGCATAGATATGATCCTGCAGTGTGCACATGCAATGCCATCCTCGAGCTGTTATCATTGGTCTTTTTTCTTCCCAAACATCAGTTCGATAGTCATAGCAAAGAAGATTCTTTCTGTAGGGTCCAATTTGGTAATCATGACCTCCTGAGATATACACTAATTCTTTATATATTGAACCAGCATGGCCATATGTAAACCTACAAAAGATAAACAGGGATTTCATTAATGGAAATTGTAACAAATATATACTGCAATAGATTCATACAATTTAAATCTATTGTTATAGATATAAGGAGGAAAAAGTGTCTGTAATGATAGGGTAAATCACATGGGCTACTTTTTAAAATTAATATACAGCAATTTGAATTCATACAATGTTTATAAATGTAAAACATGATGGGCCACAAAACAGAAACATTTAGGCAAAAAAAAAGCCAAAAACAGTGCCAGAAAGAGAGGATTAGGACAAAACTAAATATTTGGCCAAAAAGTTTTAAGAAGTTTCTTAAAAGGAGGAGATACTGGTCAACACATAAGCAGCTGATAATAGAGAGATAGCAGAGGGCTTGGGAGAGGCATGGTTACACAGCTCACTGTCAATGTAAATATGGAACCTGGCTTAATAGCATCCAGCTCATAGTAACAGGTTAGTGCCAAAAACGCTGTTTTCTCTCACAATGCAGTATAGGACACTCAAACTCAGACATTAGTAGCAATCTTCATCGGCAATTCAGACAACCAGAGATCATTTTGTACACTGGTACAATAATTTTGATCATTTTGAAATATAAGTGCACCTGCTAACTCCCACTTAATCCCTCCATCTCAAACCTTGCCTTGAAATTAATTTTTGACAACCAAATTCAAATCACCTCTCCCATTTCTGATGACTAGGTCATGGTTCCTTTATTCTTATCCCGTATGCTTTTTCTGTTTCATAGACAAGGCATCTCAAGGTGTCTTCTGCATTCAATCTATTATGCTACTGTTGTACAAAAGGATAGTTTAAAAATACATCACTGAAAACCAATTCACACATTTAAGATATGAATCATTCAGCTCATTTGCATGTGTTTACTACAGACAGAGATCCACAGAATTGTACAACACTAAACATATGAAAAGTTATTGCAATACCTTGGTAGGCCAGCGACATAGGACCAAGAATCATTATTGGGGTCGTAGATTTCAACAGAGGATAGAGCACCATTTTCATTCCTTCCTCCAACGGCTATCAGAAAGTCTGCAAAAGCATCTAAGTAAAAATCCACTCGTCTCTGATTCATGGGAGCAACCTGAAAAGCAAATCTAGAACATCTAAGAAACTACATATGATAAATGCAGTTACTTTACTTAACTGTTACACGGCATTCTACTGAAACTTTAAATACTATTCACTATTTAACAAAGACCTAATGTGAAAGTTTGTGTTCTGAAATACACTTGCGCGTATATCACAGAATCAATTCAGTGCAGTGGGACATCATTCAGCCCATTGTGTCTGTGTTTTGCAATTCAAATAAGCAGTTCACTTCCTGTCATTCTCCAATAATCCTGCACTGCTATTTGAAAAGGAATATTAGGGCCCTTTAAAGATCAACGAGGCCATCAATGTTTGGAAACACAGGAGATGGGCAAGATCCTAAATGAATATTTTGTGTTAGTATTTATGGTGGAGAAAGACAGGGAAGCTGGGGGACTTAAGGAAATAAATAGCAATGTCTTGAAAAGAGAGTCCACATTATAAAAGAATGGTGCTGAAGGTCATAAAATGCATAAAGGTATTGATGCATGATCAAGTGTATCCTTGGACATTGTGGGAAGCTAGGGAAGACACTGCGAGGCAACCAGTGGAAACGTGTATTATCAACAGCAACGGGTGAGGTGCTGGGAGACTGGAGGGTGGCTAATATTATGACATTATTTAATAAAGGCTGAAAAGGAAAAGCCACGGAACTACAGATCGGTGAACCTGACATTAGTGGGTGGAGGGGATTCTGAGGGACAGGATCTACATGCATTTGGAAAAGCATGTATTGATTAGGAATAGTCAGCATGGCTTTGTGCATGGGAAATTGTGTCTCACTAATGAGGATTTTTTTGAAGGGGTGACCAAGAAAACTGATGAAGGCAGAGCAGTAGACGTTGTCTACATGGACTTCAGTAAGGCCTTTGACAATGTTCCGCATGGTAGACTGGTTACTAAGGTTAGAACAAATGGGATCCAGGGACAGCCAGCCAAGTGGATACAAAATTGGCTTGATGGTAGCAGACAGAGGATGGTGTCTAAGGTTGTTGTTCCAGCTGGAGGCCTGTGACCAGTGGGGTGCCGCAAGGATAGGGGCTGGGTCAACTGTTGCTCATCATTTATATAAAACGATTTAGATGAGAATATAGGGGACATGGTTTGACACCAAAATTGATGATTATAGTGGATAGTGAAGAAGGTTATTTAAAAGTATAACAGGATCTTGGCCAAAGGACCAAGGAATGGCAGATGGAATTCAATTTAGATAAATGAGAGATGTTGCATTTTGGTAAGACATACCAGGGCAGGACTTCAGTTAAATGGTAGGGCCCCTAAAGGGTGTTGTCGAACAGAGAGATCTAGGGTGCAGTTGTGGAGTTTGTTGAAAGTGGCGTCACAGGTAGACAGTGTGATGAAGATGGCATTTGGCACACTTGCCTTCATTGGTCAGTGCACTGAATACAGGAGTTGGGACTCTTTGTTGTGGCTGTACAAGATATTGGTGAAGCCAATTTTGGAATACTGCATACAATCTTGTCACCCTGGTTTAGGAAGGTGATAATTAAAATGGAAAGGGTGCAGAAAAGATTTACAAACGATCTGACCCAGACTGGAGGGTTTGATCTCTAAGGAAAGGCTGGAACTTTTCTCTCCCACCCACCCCGCGCCCCCCGCCGCCTCCCCTCCGCCCCCCCACCCCCGAGAAAAGGAGCACAACTTGACCTTCTCTTGGGCATTAAGGCAGGGCTAGTGACCGAGGTGTCAGTGGGGGAGCACGTTGGGGCCAGTGATCATATTCTATTAGTTTTAAAATAGTTATGGAAAAGGATAGACCTGATCTAAAAGTTAAAATTTTAAATTGGAAGGTGGCCAATTTTAACAGTATTAGGCAAAAATTTTCAGAAGTTGATTGGTTGATTGGATGTTCGCAGGTAAAAAAGGGACAGCTGGAAAATGGGAAGCCTTCAAATATATCAGATGCAAAGACACTAGAGACAGTATGTTCCTGTTAGGGTGAAGGGCAAGGCTGGTAGGTATAGGGAATGAAAGATGACTAGAGAAATTGAGGTTCTGGTCAAGAAAAACAAGGAAGCATATGTCAAGGATCAAGTGAATCCCTAGAAAAGTAAAAGGGCAGTAGGAGTATACTTAAGAAGGAAATGGGGCAGGCAAAAAGGGGACATGAAATAGCTTTGGCAAATAGGGTTAAGGAGAATCCAAAGGGATTCTACAAATACATTAAGGATAAGAGTGTAACTAGGGAGAGAATAGGTCCCCTTAATGATCAGCAAGGCCACCTATGTGTGGAACTGCAGGTGATCGGGGAGCTACTAAACGAGTATTTCACACCAGGGTTTACAGGGGAGAAGGATATAGAAGCTAGAAAACTTGGACAAATAAATAGGGATATCGACACTTTTCAAGATATTACAGAAGAGGTGGTGCTGGATGTCTTAGAATGCACAAAGGTGGACAAATCTCTAGGATATGATCAAATGCACCCTAGAACTTTGTGGGAAGCTGGAAAAATGATTGCAGGTCCCCTTGCGGAGATACCTGCATCATTGATAGCCACAGGTGAGGTGCTGGAAGACAGGAGGTTGGCCAATGTGGTGCCACTATTTAAGAAAGGTAGTGAGGAAAGGCCAGGGAATTATAGACCAGTGAACCTGACATCAGTGGTGGGCAAGATGTTAGAGGGGATTCTGAGGGACAGGATTTACATGTGTTTGGAAAGGCAAGCACTGATTAGGGATAGTCAACATGGCTTTGAGTGGGAAATCACATCTCACTAACTTGATTGAGTTTTTTGAAGAAGTAACAAAGAGGATTGATGAACGCAGAGCAGTGGACGTGGTTTTTATGTACTTCAGTGAGGCATTTGACAAGATTCCACATGGTAGACTGGTTAGCAAGATTAGATCACATGCAATACAAGGAGAACTAGCCATGTGGATACATAACTGGCTTGAAGATAGGAGACAGAGGGTAATGGTGGAAGGTTGCTTTTTGGAATGGAGGCCTGTGACTGGTGGTGTGCTGCAAGGATTGGTGCTGGGTCCACTGCTTTTTGTCATTTATATAAATGATTTGGATGTGAACATAGGAAGTATAGTTAGTAGGTTTGCAGATGACATCAAATTTGGTGGTGTAGTCGACAGTGAAGAAGATTCTCTCAGAGTACAATAGAACCTTGATCAGATAAGCCGATGAGTAGAGGTGCAGCAGATGAGTTTAATTTACAGGAATCCAAGGTGCTGCATTTTGGTAAGGCAGACGAGGACAGGAAGTATCCACTTAAATGGTAAGGTCCTGGGAGAGTTGCCAAACAAAGACCTTGGAGTACAGGGATAACAAGGTGTAGAGCTGGATGAACACAGCAGGCCAAGCAGCATCAGAGGAGCAGGAAGGCTGACGTTTCAGGCCTAGACTCTTCTTCAGAGTACAGGTTCATTTTCCTTGAAAGTAAAGTCTCAGGTAGACAGGATAGTGAAAAAGGTGTTTGGTACGCTTATCTTTATTGGTCAGTGCATTGAGTAAAGGAGTTGGGAGGTCATGTTGCGACTCTGCAGGACATTGGTTAGGCCACTTTTGGAATACTGCATTCATTTCTGATTTCCCAGCTATAAGGAAGGTGTTGTGAAACTGGAGAGGGTACAGAAAAAATTTGCAAGAATGTTCCCAGGGTTGGAGGGTTACAGGAAGATGCTGAATAGGCTGGGGCTGTTTTCCCTGGAGCATTGGAAGCTGAGGGGTGACCTTACAGAAGTTCATAAAATCGTGAGGGACATGGATAGGGCGAGTAGCCAAGGTCTTTTCCCCAGGGGAGAGGAGTTCAAAACTATAGGGCATAGGTTTAAAGAGAGAGGGTAAAGATTTAAAAGTGACCCAAGTGGCAACTGCTTAATGGGTGGTGCATGTATAAGGACCAGAAGAAGGGTTGGAGGCTGGTGCAACTAGAACATCTAAAAAGCATCTGGATGGGTATACGAATAGGAAGGGTTTACAGAGATATGGGCCAAATGCTGATAAATGGGACTAGATTAATTTAGGATATCTGGTCAGTATGGATGAGTTGAACAGAAGGGTCTGTACATATCTATTACTCAGAGTGGTAACAGCTTGTTTCTGACCACTCTGTCCAGATCATTCACAATTTTGAATCCTCTATCAAATCTCCTCTCAGCCTTCTCTTCTCCAAGGCACACAGTCCCAATTTTTCCAATCTATTGTCACAGCTGAAGTTCTTCATCCCTGGAACTATCTTTTCAGCTCTCTTTCTAATGCCTTTAGAATTAACTCTGTAGTACATTGACCCTTTGTTGTCTGTTAAGTATCACTTCACATCCAAAGTAAACAAACGTGATCTCTGCATGTCTATCACGAATTGCAGGATTTCTGATAATTAAAGCTGAAAACATCAAGTTACATAAATTAATTCCTCACAAATGATCAAAGACTACAATAATTTAAAAAACCTCACATTTGCACTGTCCAACATGCAGAGCTACACATTTTCAGTTATCATTCGGAGAAAAAGTTGTCTAAATAATCTAAAAATCTAAAGTAAAAATAGGCAGCTTTCAAAAATCTAAAATCACATTTCTCACTATAAAGAACAGATTACAGAAAAACAGCTTTCAATCTGAAGTTGCCTCCACAACACGCTGGAATAGAGGATTCCAGATATTCACTATCACAGAGCAGAAACTCCTTTACATCTCAGTTTTAATGGAGTCTCCTTATTCTGTAACTATGCCCCAAGTTTAGATTACCAACTAGTGGAAACATCTCAATATCTACTCTGTCAAAGCCTCTCTGAATTTTCTATGTTTCAATTACATCACCTTTGATCTTCTAAACTCTAACGAATAAAGGCCTAGCATATTTAGCTGTTCTTGATAAATCAACCCTTTCATTCCTAGTGAAATCAGTAGAATCAGTCTAGTGAATTTCTTGAACAGCCTCCAACATCAATATATTCTTTCTTAAATATGGGTTCCAAAACTGTAGAGTACTCCAGGTCTGATCTCACCAACACCCTACAACAAGACTCCCGTGTTTTTGAAATTTCAACCCCTAGCAAAAAAAAGGGCAAAAATCCATTTGCCTTCTAAATTACTTGTTGCACTTGCATGCTGTATATATTTCTTGCACATGAATATGGATCCCTCTATGCTCCGCATTTTTGGAGTCTCTCCACTTAAATAATAGTCTGCCTTTTGATTCTTCACACTTTCCTACATTAAACTCTATCCAAATTTTTGCCCACTTTCTCAACTTATCTACATCCTGTGTCGATTCCTCAAGTCCTAATCACAACATGCCCTCCCAATAATTTCTGTAACAGCAGAAAATTTGGATACATTAGACTCTGCTCGTCCTCCACATCATTAATATAGATCGTACATAATTGAGTTCCTATGACCAATCTCTGTAGCACTCCACTATTTACGTACACTCAACTGAAAAAAAGACCCAATTATTCCAAATCTTCCTAGTGTGTGTGAATCAATCAATCCACACGAATACATTACCGCCAATACAGGAAGTTCCTGTCTTGTGCAATAATCTTTTGTGGTACCTTATTTAATGCCTTCTGAAAATCCAAATCCAAATACAAGGACATTGGTGAGGCCACTTTTAGAATACCGCATTCAGTTCTGGTGTCCCTGCTATAGGTAAGATGTTGTTAAACTTGAAAGGGTTCAGAAAAGATTTACAAGGATGCTGCCGGGATTGGAGGGTTTGAGGTATAGGGAGAGGCTGAATAGGCTGGGGCCTTTTCTCTAGAGCAGAGGCTGAGGGGTAACGTTATAGAGGTTTATAAAATTATGAGGAGCATGGATAGGGTGATTAGCCAAGGTCTTTACCCCAAGTTAAAAGATTCCAAAACTAGAGGGCACAGGTTTAAGGCGAGAGGAGAAAGATTTAAGAAGGACCCGAGTGGCAGCTTTTTCCACACAGAAGATGGCACATGTACAGAACGAGTTGTCAGAGGAAGTGATGGAGGCAGGTACAATTACGACATTTAAAAGCCATCTGGATGGGTACATGAATAGGAACGATTTAGAGGGATATGGGCCAAATGCTGGCAAATGGGACTAGATCAGTTTAAGATACCTGGTTGGCACAGATGAGTTGGACCAAAGGGTCTGTTTCTGTCCTGTATAACTGACTCCACTATCTCTGTAGCCATTTCCTTTAAAACCCTTGGATGCAGACTATCAGGTCCTGGCAACTTGTCTGCCTTTAGTCCCATTAGTTTGTCAAATATTTTGTCCTTGTGATAGAGATTATTACAAGAGCTTTCCTCCCATTAGCATCTTGCTCATCTGTTATCTTTAGGATGTCTATAGTCTCCTCCATCATGAGGATCAATACAAAATATTGGTTTAAACTACCTGCCACTTCCCTACTCCCTGCTACCAACGCTCCCATTCCATTCTCTAAGGGTTCCAACACTTACTTTAGCTACTCTTTCTTTTACATATCTGCAGAAGCTCTTGTTGTTTGCATTTTTATTTCTTACCAATTCACTTTTATAAATCAATTTTCTCCCTGTTTATGAGCTTTTTAAAATCACTGTTGGTTCCTAAAAAATTTCCTGTCCTCCGGCTTATCATAATTTTTATGGAAATTGCTGGAGAAACTCAGCAAGTCTGGTAGTATCTGGAGATGGAAACAGTTTTAACTTCTCTCAGTTTTGAACAGCACTTGCTGGACCCGAAACATTAACTCTACTTTCTCTGCATAGATGTTACCAGACCTGCCGAGTTTCTCCAGTCATTTTTTCTGTTTCAGATTTCAAGCATCTGCAATTCTTTGTTTTATTTCAGTTGCCAGAGCTATTGTACAAGACAAATTTCCAAAATTTGTCAAATGTTTAAGGTATTAATGGCTCAACAGGAAACTGAATAAATTACCGTTTATCAGAAAACCTACTAAATTAGTTTGCAAGTTTGTCAAATAGGGGTCCTTTTTCATGGATATTTTGCAATGCTAGTAAATATCTCAGTTTTATGTCTATTAAAATATTGCAAGCTCAGTGGAGCTATATTTTTGTACAAATAATTGGAGCTTACTAGCAGATTTCATTGGCATATCATTATCCTTCCTTGTTTCTGCTACTGTAAAAATGCCAGTGTCAATATTTACTTTCCCCAGTTGTCAAATGAACAGAGGTAAAAGTATACGTAGTACAGAAAATAAACTCATTTTTTCCAAGGTCTGTTAAATGATGTACTTTCACACTTGATTTTAAAATTTTCAAGTCAGGTAGGCACCCACAGGAGAGATTTTAATATTTCTCATTGATCTGGAACAAATATTTCTTTAACTTTTCAAGGTACATCAATTGCAGTTTGTTGAACTCATTTATTCAGCTGCCTTTTACAGCTTTTCTGCCAATTTAATATGCAAGGCCATCAACCTCTAAGTGACTTGGTCACTATAATGTGATGTCAATAGTACACCTGGAAGGTGTAAATTTTACGTGTTCATTTTTCATGTTTAAATAGAAGAAGTGATGTCAAGTTATAAAAGAGAAGTAACTTACCTTGAACCATTGATTGCATCTAGGATCATATCTATAAAGGACATTTGAAGCTGCATCACCTCCATTATCACGGGATGAGCTTCCACCCGCCATAAAGATAAATCCTCCAAAGACAGTCACACAGTGATGACTCCGTCTTGCAGGCAGCATTGTTTCAGAAAACCATTGCCCTTTTGTCGCATCAAAAAAGCACATATCATCACTTAGCTCTTCTCCACGTTCTGACACTTCCCCACCAATAAACAATAGTCTTTCAATATCTGAGCGAAGGAAAGAACGCTTGTTCTGAAGTACTGGTTGTTTTGTAATGTTATTGTGATAATATATTGCTTCTTCCAAGAACACGTCACAATTTGCTTCTTTGGGAAGTAGGGAGCACACTGCTGGTTTAACTCGTTGCAATAGATCACTTTTGGGTATAAGTGGGAAATGGATGTTTCTGAGGACAAGGCGAGCATCTTGCACTCTGTCAGGACTCTGTGTTAACCACTGCAGCGCAGCCTGTAGCAAGTCATGCTCACATTCATGTTGCACATTGTTGCTCTCCAAATAAAGACAAAGCTTTTGCACAGATATGTTCTGCAAAAATTCTGGAGTGAAGGAAAGTGTACCAAAACCATGCAGAATAAAACTATCGATGTAACAGTCCAGTCGCTCTAGGTCATAAATTGAAGCCAGTTCTTGAAGATAAAGGTAGTTTTCTTCACTAACTTCACTCTCGAGGTACTCACAACAAAAATCCACGACTTTCCAAATTTGTAAAAGATGAGCAGTTTCCAGCACATAGTCAATGTTTCCACCATCTAAAGGGAGTTCACTGCTATAGAGAAAGTCAATCACAGCTTTTAGACCGATGTAAGAGGCTCCAACCAACTCAACTTCTTCTTGATAAGCTTCCCTCATTCCAATTGTAAACATAGAATTGAAATAGTCACTGTAAACAGCCAATAGATTCCTATGGGCAGACACTCTCTGTTCATCTGCCACAAGCACGATATCACAGAACAGTCCCTTCTGTCTCTGCTCATTTAGCCCCTGAAGGATGACACTAGAATGATCCGCCCATCTGTACACCTGAAAGAGAATTCACTTTACTTTATCATCCGGCATTTTGGAGTTGAAATGTGCACTTAGGAAATCCTAAGACTGTTTATTGAGGTATAAAAACTTTATGTACTTGATAAATGCATTTTTGAGTTCACACCATATATTTAAGTATTCACTTATTAGCACACAAACTACAGTACTGTGAATTACTCAATACCCTGCTGAGGACTGAATAAGTTGTTTTGATACAGACTAATGCCCATTAGGTTCTGTATTAATTAGTTTGACACAAGCTTCATTAGAAATATTCACCATTATTATGACCGGTAAATCACATTCAAATCCTTTTCAATTATATTTGTTTCTTTATTGCTTTCCAAACATCTTTACCATGCAATTGCAATATAAACAATTCTAAAAGTATTGTTTTGCTAAGTTGGCCAGTGGCCAAAAGTAGTTACGTAAATCGCACAATTCAAGCCAGCTGTGCTCTCAAATTCTGAAAATCAATTTGTCTTTGTTAAGTTCAGCTGGGTGCCAGTATAATTTTAATTAAGTGGAGCACCGTTTTCAGGACTTATCATTTTAGCCGCAGCAACCAAAACAATGTTGTAACATTTTTGTACTGGCATAAATAAGTATGTAGTCAAACGTAAATACTACCCTGCTTTCTTTTACAACTAAGTAATTAGAACAGCAAATCATCACAAAATAACCAGTGATTATGCAATGGCAGTTAACATTAAGTAAAAAAAATTGTACACTTTGCTTGTAATAGTTAAAATTTTACATCTGGTTGCATAGATTTTGGATTTTTAAAGAATATCAAAAAGTTTTAATGATCTAAATAAATGCAAAAATGTAAAAAACATGGCATTTACCCAACCAACTATGACGCATTCTACAATTATTCATTCCTGCAACAGAAGTACTAGGCAGTTAGCAGACTGTGATCTATGAAGTGATATGGATACTGTGAAGTCACAACAAACCCATGGGGTTTTGAGCACTTAATACTGGCCAAAGGCGACATGCAAATTCCCTTTCATATATTTACAACATTACCTAAACATTTTGGTATGAGTTGACCAGATTTTACCACTTATTTTCTTAGTGTGTAATGTGTTCCTTCTTTTTCACTGCAGAAGTGCAAATGCAGGGGCAAGATAAAATCTTGTCACTTGGAATATGAAGTATGTTAATGATCTTGTGTCCAGTAGAACAGTTAGCTTACATGCTTTACCATAGGAATCAAATTAGGGAGGCAGTGCTGCAGGACAGTAATTACCAAGGATTTCAGAGGGAATGGCTTTCTGTTCCTGAAGTTATGGAATTTTTTTTAATCAAATACAGTGGGAAAACAAAATCAGTTGCTAATATTGATATTGGAAGTTTTTCAAATTTTCCGTTCACTTAACAGATGAGGGGGGAATAGAAAATTAACAATACTCCATCATGATCACATGCTGCTTTGCCCAATTTCTGTTTCTTTGCTGCACTCCGGCAATCTAATTGTCCCCAGGAACAAATACAGAAAAGAAAATACGAATAAATAAATTGATTGCTACTGATAAAAATGACTCTTGATCTGACAGCATGTATTTTACACACTACTGTTATTTAAAATCCATTAAAAAAAATCTTCAAATTATGGAAAAAATATAAAATCGGTCAAGCAAAAACAAAATATTGCTGATGCTGAAGATCTGAAACAAAAAAAAAAACAGAAAATGCTGCAAATACAGAAGGTTAAACACGTAGAAAGAAACAAGAGTTAATGTTACACTTCAATGACCCTTCATCACAACCTGGAACGTTTGCAACTGGCTCATGTCATTTTTTTCAAAAATAAATTTGGTAAAGGTGAAACGTGTTCATGATAGGTCGATACAATGGGGATATGCATTGACTAAAACTTTGTGAAATTATAACTATTTTTAGTTACATTTATTGTAAGCATAGAATGTTTATCATTTGGATGACATTAAAAATAAGTGAGCTTGTCTTTTACACAAGTATTGTATTTTAAGCTGTGGATGCCTGTAACATTGACATAATGTTCATTGGGCTTATATGACAGGACCACCATGAGCTTTCAGACAATTGGACAATGAACTTTAGGGTACTGGTCAGACATTAACAAGCAGATCCAGAAGAACTTCTCAATTCAATTCCAATGAGCAACATTATTTTCCTAACTTGCTTCAATCCATAATGAATTAGTGGCAGGGGAGGACCAGTGTGCAATCCACTAGGTAAAAGATCCAAGGTAATGACTGTGGAAGGAGAAACAAGATAATAATGACATCTGGTTTTACACACGTTCAATCTTTGAATTTTGCACAACATATTTTGCCAGTAACAGTGGGAAAAATTCTCATTAAACAATGTCACATGATTCCAGGAATCAAATTTTAACCGATAATAAACTAATGTTGTTAACAAACATCACGGAAGTGATTTGTCATGCAAACCCGTGTAATGGAAGGACAGTATAGATATGCTGAAGTATTAGCTACTATGTCACTGAGCTACATTGACAGAAGCATGGTGGTCTTCCTGGATTTCACTTGACCCAGGAAACAAGGGAGAAAAATTTTTGTGACAGTTTCCTTTCTCCCTCCTTATGTAATCCCCTCCATTGGCTTCAGATCAAAAGTATGGTCTTGAGTTAAAACAAAAACAGAAAAATTGCTGGGAGAAACTCAGCAGGTCTGGCAGCATCTGTGGACAGAAAGTAGATGCTCTTTTGGGTCTTCTTCTGCCCTATTTGTTGCATCATGTTTCAGTTGGGCCAGATGTACTGTTATTGTAGGGAAAACAATGAAATATAAAGAAAAAGGAACTGACGTGTGAAGCCAATATATTACGATACTGGAAACATCTGAGACTATTCAGCCCATCATGTTCACAAAGTCTCTCTGCAACAGCACCTCAACTAGGCAAAATCCTCTGCCACTGTCTGTAAACCTGCAGCTTTGTTTCTTTAGCTGCTTTATGATAGGCTCATGTAGGACGGGAAAAAGATTACAGGGAACACTAACACACCCATATCCAGTATCTGAGTAATACAAGTTGACCACAGCCCCTGGAAACAAATCAGAAGCATCAAAATGACCGTCCATGCCTCCACACTTGAAGCAGCCAGCAACAATCTGGATGTTCCAGAAGCACAGATCCAGAGACCTACCTGCAGTGTGACCAGTAGCAGAGTGACATCAGGAACTACAAGGATGAAGCAACAATAATGAGCCATGAACCTGTACCACCTGAAAAGAAGCCACAAAAGTACAACATCCACATGAAATGTGACAATGAATTTCTGTTCACAACTGTAAAAAATAAGTGGACATGAGGAATGTCGGATCAGCCACAATCCTATTGAATAGTGGAATGGACTCTAGGGTGGCTGAACGGCCTTCTCCTCTTCCTGTTTCTCGATGTTGATGAGTAAAAAGGGAAATTTGGAATAGCACCACTCACAATGCACAATAAATTCAAGGGTAGGTTTCCCATTTTCAGGCAAAACACAACAAATCATTCACAGAGAGCTAAGTAATTAATGAAGCAATAACTGTGCCATTGACTCTTTATTCAGAGACTTTAAAAACAAAGAAGAAATAACAGCAATCCGGAGCATATCACTTTGTGCTTTCACAGTAGCAAGAGGAGTAGAATCTTTGTCCAAAGACATCCTTCAGTAACTGCAGCAGGATTTGAAGGACTGTGAATGCTTCTCACTGCATTTCAATTAATCCATTGACATGACCGACACAGCCCAGCTGATTAGGTTTTGCGTGTGCACAAAAGCAAAGAGGATCTTCTCACCCTTTTAACCCTTAAAAGAGAGAGCAAGATAAAGATACCTACAACAAGTTCAAAAAGGCACAAGTGCTTGAGAAAAACACTTCAGTCAAGAAACAGGTCTCCATAACTGACTGTAGGCCAGCCATATTTGGGTCAAATACAGAATTTGCTTTATATCACAGAATTATCCTGATTTTACCTCGTCAATTGCCACTTTATAATCCACGAGCAAGGATTAGCAAATAAAATTATGGAATGTTTTCATATGTAATGAAAGTTGTTAAGATAACTCAATTCAAGCAAAAGCCCTTCAGCACCTTTTGTTTAAATCCTTACTTGACAAACTCAATGCATCCCTCGGTGAACTAGTCCTCCATGCTGATGTGAGGTAGTTAAGTCAAGGGAAAGTCCTGCAAACATATTTAGATCTGATGCCCATTCCAGATACCAATTCTGTCAGTGTAAAAGGTTTTTCATCATGTCACGATTGTTTCTGCCTATAACCTGTAAGTCTCAATTCTTCCAAGGTGAACAGTTCCCACCTTAATCTACTCTGTCTAGAAACCCCCTCCCCAATTTTGAAAAGCTCTAACAAATCTCAGGGCAACCTTTTCCCAAGGAAAACAGTTTCAGCTTCGCCAATCTCAGAAGAAAAAAAGACAGACTGGTATTTTTGTGACTTCAGGATGCCACAAAGTATACGACAGCTAATTAAGTACTTTTCAGTTGTAGTCACTTAATTAATTCCAAACTTACTTTGAACAGAGCAGAATACAACTGTTGCATCCTTTTGCAGTTTATATTTTAAAATTATGGCTTCCATGATGTTTGAACTGGTAAAGTTGAGTGTGGCCTGTGAGCAGTTTGGTGCATGGCTGTTAAAATCTTAGAAGGAACATTGACCACTATTGTAGTGTAGAAAACACACAAGCATTTTACTGGGTAGGATAAGTGAATGCTATTTTAAACGGAATGCAATCTAATGACCTGTTTAAAAAAAAAGCGCACCTATCATAAGAAAATATATCACTCACAGACAGCCATCAGACAGGCAACAGCATTTTCTCCATGATAATCCTCAACACCAACATACTGAGCCCCTTACTATACCCCCTGTATACTCATGACTGAGGGCCAAATTTCATCTGAACTCCAGCTACACATTCACTGACGACACCACCATCGTAGACCGGATATCAAAATTGAGGAGACAATACAGGAAACAGACAGAGAGCTTGGTGGTGTTGTGTGGGGTAAAGATAACAATCTCTCCCTAAACATCAGCAAAACGAAAGAGCCGATCATCGACTGCAGGAAGCAAGGAGGAGAGCACGCCCCTATCTACATCAATGGAGCCGAGGTGGAGACAGTCGAGAGCATCAAATTCCCAATAGTGATGATCAACAACACTGTCCTGGACCACCCACGTTGATGCAACGGTCAAGAAGTTACAACAACACCTCTTCTTCCTCAGGACATCAAAATTCAGCAAGTCCATAAGGACACTCACCAACTTCTACAGATGCACCAAACAAAGCATTCTATCAGCATGCACCACGGCTTGGTATGGCAACTGCTCTGCCCAGGACCATTAGAAACTACAAAGAATTGTGAACACAGCCCAGACCATCACTCAAGCCAATCTTCCATTCATTGACTCCATCTACACTTCTCGCTGCCTTGGACAGGCAGCCAACATCATTAAAAACCCCTCCCACCCCGGTTATAATCTCTTCCAACCTCTTCTGTCAGGCAAAATATGCAAAAGCTTAAAACACATGTACCGATAGATTCAAGTACAGCTTCTTCCCCACTGTTACAAGACTTCTGAATGGACCTCTCAAATTTCAAATCTAATGTTGATCTTGCTTTTTGTGCACCTTCTTTGGAGCTGTAACTTTGTATGTCTCGTTCTGTTCAATCTTTGTATGTTCAATCTATGATCTTTGTATGGTATGATCTATCTGTACTGTATGCAAAACAAAACATTTCACTGTACCCAAGTACATGTGACAATAACAATTCAAATCAAATTAAACCCATGTTCTCCTGAGGAAGTCTCAATAAGTTTTGTTGAGTAAGCAAACTATAAAATGTTTCTTGCTGGAGCCATATAGATGAGGAAACATTTCAACAAGTATAATATTATGCAATTCAAGGAATTTGCTCATTAAACAGTAACAATATCAGATGCTGATTTTCATGAATGAGATTACACTAACCTTTGATGATTCACTGATCTTGTGAGGACGAGAGACCCTCGACTGTTTTGTCCCCTCCATTGTAACTTTCCTGATGACACCTGACCAAAAAAAATCATTAATTGATCAGTTTTTCTTATGGTAAATCTCTGCTGGGTGGTACATGCTGCTTTGAAACAAAATATTGTTCAAGACATTTTATTGCTTTAATTTCAGCCCCCTGCTGGCCACTCCTAATAATTTCACCAATAAAGCCTTTTTGTTCATTAACACATACAAATAGATTGATGAGACATATCTCCCTAGTCATCACATCCAGAGATGGGACTTCTATCCCAGAACATTACCCCTTAGATCAATCAAATCTTTACTTACCAAACTTGCCTAAGCTTTATGGAATCAGTAATTCCAGTAAGATACTCTTTTTGTTACTGGGTAGGAATGGCTAGTGTACGTGAAAGAACCAGGTATCAAAATCACATAATCAGACGAATATGGTATGGGGTGTTAAAGAGATGAATGTTTGTTTTTGTGGTGCTGATGGAGGAAAACTCAAGGTCTTCTTGGAAACTTGTGGGATCTTCTGCTCCATTTCAGTGCAGATAGGGCCTTGGTTTCACATCATATCAGAAACACCATTTTTGGCAGATTAGCCCTCAGTCAGTACTGCATGAGTGTGTCAGCCTGGATTACATGCCTTCGTCTCTAAACTAGGGCTTGAACAAACAAGTCTGAGACTCAACATGTGTGAACATAACCAGACAAATGAAACCCCCAGTGAAGACAAGTAAATCATTATTAAAACCTTCGTCAAGATTTTCTAAACAAAGAATTAGAAAAGAAGGAATTTGAAATATCAGTTATTTAATGAAAGAACAAGGCCACAAAAGTCCACTGTTTAAAACAAAGTAATGTTTTTGACTTTGAGAGGCAAACAAAGCAATACCATCTCGGGTAACACCTATCCTCTAAAATCTAGAATTAACACAAATCAAACATGAATAAACAAATTGTGATCAATTATAAATGATGAACTACACCTTAAACACCAGGTATAAAGGCTTGCCTTGCAGTTTAGCTTGACTGTCCACTCAACACATACGAAAACCTCAGTCACAAATTCTCACAAAGAATTTCAGCTCCTCATTTTCTGGGACGTAGCCAGATCCCTAGCTATCAAAACTGCACAACCAGCTTCACAAAAACTGTACATGCGCATACTTGCCTATCCATAATTTCTGCATCTCGCTTCTGCCTTCTTCAGCTGTCTGAACTGTACCAAAAAGATTATCTGACCTCCGATGGCTCGATATCCTTTTATATGGTTTCAACTAGTTTCAGTCTCCTAGAAGTTCCTAAACTAATTTCAGTCTTAATTTCTTTAGAAACTGGAGGAGTAAGTCTTTTCAATTAGGCTGTGTTTTAAAAAAAAGCTTTGAAAGCAAGGATTCCATCACAACTAGAACCATGCCTGCCTAACTGCAAACTAGAACAGTGGAAATGGGTTGGGAGGGGGTTGAGGGAAG